CTCGGCAGGAGATGCCGAAGAGGAACGCCTGGACAATTTCCGAGTCGCCGACGCTGGGCAACTCGGTGCATTGCTTGGAGAAGCATCGGATGAAGTCTCGGAGAGACTCGTCTGGCTTCTGGCGACAACTCTTGAGGTCCTAGGAGTTCCCGGGGCGCATGTATGTGCCCTGGAAATTCCCGACGAAGACATTTACCAAGTCGCGCCAGTTGTTGATCTGCAAGGGAGGGAGGTGTTCGAGCCAGGCTCGCACCGAGTCTGACAGGAACAACGGGAGGTTGCGGATGATAAGCAGGTCATCGTCCACGCCGCCTAGCTGACAAGCCAGGCAGTAGTTGGCCAGCCATAACTCGGGGTTGGTCTCGCCGCTGTACTTTGAGAGGTTGGCCGGTTGTCAAAACTGGGCCGGGAAGTGGGCGCCACGGATGGCTTTGCTGAAGACTTGAGGGCTAGGGGGCCCAGGAGAAGGACTGCGGTCCTCCTCGCTGTCGTAGCGACCGCCTCGGTGCAGGTGATAGCCACGGGTGGGCCCATCGTTGTCGTGGCACCGTCGCCTGCTGACCACATCGTGGTCGCCTTGCGCCTCGCGTCGGTCGCTGAGGCAGTCGTGCACCGAGGGGGCCTTGTTGGCTTTCGGTGCCCGAGCAGGCTCGGGATGAACCGAGGCCTCTCTATCCTGTCGAGGCGGTGCCGCGGGTAGTTCCGAGGTGCCCCCGCGCCGTCGAGAGGCGGAACTTTCGGCCTGCTGTACCACGGCGGTCTCGAGGAGGTCTCGGAGCTCATCGTGGACCCGTCGCCCCTCCGAGGTAGAGGGCTCAGGCATTGTCCGGAGTAGCATCACTGCTGTCGCGACGTTCTGGCTAGCGCGATTGAAGATAGGGGGTTGCTCGCCCCCTTCGTCGTTGTTGATGCGGTGTTTGACGTCGCGAGCCCTCCGTCGGGCTACTCCGCCCTCACCGCGACCCCGCTGCTCTCGCTCAAGAGTGTCTCGGAGCTACTGCAGAAGGAGTCGGTCTTGTTCGACCTTGGCCTGAAGCTCATGGAGCTGCTCCAGGTCTAGGCGTCGAAGTTCCTCGAGGGCGGGGACATCGTCCCGCGCTGGCAGGGGCTCGGCGCGTGGCGGTGTGGCGTTGCCTGCCCCCACATAGGACGGGGAGCGATTGCCTGCCCCTTCATCCTCGTTGCCTGCGTTTGGCATCTCGAGCTTGACGTTGAAGCACTCACGAGTCGGGTCGTAAGCATCTTCATCATCGGAGTCGGAGTAGCTGAAGCAGTAGTCGCTCGTGGCCATGAAGCGGCGCATGGCTTTAGGGTCGCGGAGCCCAGAGAAGTCCGCTCCGGCCCATGCCTCGTCCTCCTTTGAGGAGTCGGCGTGGGCGTGGGTCGGAGTTGTGGCGATGGAGTCGAGGGCAGAAAGTTGATGGCATCCTGGGGGCTCTGCGTGAGCGGAAGCGTAGGCCGCAACTACATTGCTCAACCCGAAGAAGTACGGGGATTGTGTCGTCGCCGGGCTCCGCTCCGCCGGAGTTGGCTCCTAAGGAGGTGGCGGGGTAGAGCTCGATGACGGGGTGTCACTGCGCGCCACCAGTGTCTTTCCTTTGCCCAGGCTTAAGCTAGACAGGTCCCCAGCGAGGGACTCTACGCCAACAGCCGGGTGTGGGAAACTGGCGGAGCGCGGAGCGTCGCCCTGAACTTGCGTGGTGTTGGGGTGGTTCCGCTCACGTCGTGTCTGGCGAGCGCGACGAGAGCGGCGGCCCAGGCACCGCCCGCGCCTGGGCTGATGGTGCGTGATGTCGTCGTCGGTCGATGGGACTCTGGGTGGGAGGAGTATCATGTCGTACTCATATCCTAAAGACATGAACTCTAGGCTCCCGAACCCGATCATTGTGCCGAGACGCAGTGGTCGCACGGGGTCTGCCATCCGGAATCTATTGGGATGACTAAGCTAACACACAGTAGCTCCCCTACCTGGCGCGCCAACTGTCGGTGTTTTGGACTGGGGGGTCCTCAACCGGCTAGTGAAAGTGTACTGCGTGTTCCTAATCCTGGATGGTGATACAAAGAGACACAAGGTTTATACTGGTTCAGGCAATAGGTACCCTACGTCCAGTCTGAGGGAGCGATCTTGTATTCCTTGCACCGAGGTGCTTGTAGTAGGGGCTTACAAGCTGGGCGAGAGAGGGAGCTAGCCCCAGGTCTCTATGAATTGCAGTGCGTGTTGCTTGAGATGTTGATCTCTTGCAGTGAAGGAGTGTGCGTGTTATAGAGTGTTGTGCGTGACTTGCACCGGTGTGTCTGTGATTTCCCCCTAGAAGCGGCCCTGGTCACTCCCTTTTATAGTCGAAGGGAGGCACAGGGGGCGGTACATGTATCTGCTATGTGGAGTTCTTCGGCAGGGGCGGCATGTCCGAGCCCTGCAGCTTGTCACTGTGGCGGCGTGGTTGGTGGAGTGGTCTTATCCTCCGTGCACTGGGGCGACGCGCCGGTCACGCCTGATCCCGTGCGACGTGGGAGCTCCTGTGGTGGCAGGCGCGCCTTCTTCTGTTGGAGGCGTGCTGGTCACTGTATGTTTGACCGGCGTGGAGTGCCGATGCCAGGTTGATGCGATGGCGTGGGTATGCTGATTCCGAGGCTACAGGAGCTAGGCCCTGTGCACGACGTGGGAGCTCATGCAACCCGACGCAGGGCATGGCGCGTACTGCGGGCGACGTGCCGGTCCCAGAGCGCTGACAACGTAGAGAGTTGAGGCCCAGTTCAATGCAGAGGCTGGACCGTCGTGGGGGCTCGGCGGGCGCGAGTCCCGAGGCTACAGTAGCCCGGAAGCAGGTAGCCGAGGCTCGGAGGGAGAAGTTGGCCTTGCATGTCGTTTCCGAGGCTACAGGGACCCGGACGTGACTTTGCATGCCTGGGCAGGGGTTAGGCAGCATAGCGTGGCACGGGTGTTCGTCGTGGGCACAGTGCCGAGCACAGCGGCCGATAACCCCCGCCCCGTCCTGTCTCGAATAGCATGGGGTTGATGTGACTCCCGTCTCGTCGGCCACTCCGCTGTACCGTGTCGTCGTGCGGCTAATGTTGTGGGAGTGGTTGAACGCTTTAGTTGGATGTGACGTCCCGTCAGAGAAGTCGGTCAAAGCGGCGGTGACGGGGCTGATGCCGAGCCGGCCTCGAGCGAGTCGGTAACTGGGTGCTCGTCCGAGACTTCGTGGCACGGGGTCTCAGGCGAGTCGGAGAATCGATACCTCGTCCGAGGCCTTGCGGTGTGGGGCCTCGATCGAACCCGGATATTTGTTCGAGGTGGGCCGGGCGGTCCAGCCGGGCCTCGGATGTGGCGGGTTTACCTACGGTTGTATTTTGGTTTCGTTTTTTACAAGGTCTAAGCAATTTTTTTCGGTTCTTGCTTAGGGTACCCCTTTTTATTGTACCCGACACTAAGGCATGTTAGGTTTAGTCGAAGAAACTCTGTACCCTAGTTCGGTACATATTCTCATATGCCATTTCATGTGTTTTGTGTGTTGAATTATATAATGCCCTACTTCGTTAGGTTGTGTTTGCAGCACGTGATCACATTTCACTACGTCCGCAACATTATACTGAATATTATGACCATAAATAATAAAAATAACTACATAATGAAAAGTCCAATACTATGCCATATTAAACAACACAATAATACTAGAAGTACGTGCCGATAGTAGACAACATTGTTCATGAATAAACCATAGAACTAGCAATTCATGGAGACTACTGAGTGCAACGAGGCCACTTTCCCTTCCTTAGGGTATCGGGATTCTCCTCCATCGCTGCTTTCGCTCGGCGTGCACGCTCAAGTTTCTTCTGCCTCTCCTCCCTGTACGCAGCAACACGCCTCCTTTCCTCCTCTTCCTTGTGCTCCTTTTTTGCAGCCTCCTCTCCCGTCTCTTCTCTATCATCTCCTTGTCCTCTGCCTCCCACCGCAACAGTTCTGCATCCATTCCTTGTCTTCAGACTTGATCTCAGTGTCGATCCACTGCTCAAAATCACAGAGCGGTGGAGGGGTCTGCAAAAAATGCAATTGTTACAAAACAAAAAAATCATGCAAGATGTCATATGACACAAACATCAATTCTTCACCATCTTGTTAATGCGGCGCTGACGAAGTGTAGGCTCAAACGCAAAATTGAAACATATCCAATACATCTGCCTATACGTGTCCTCTTCATCGGACTTGGCTACCTTGCAAGGATCGCCGCAAAAGCACATGGGCACTGGAACACCACTAGACAGAGGCAATAGGTTGAAGGCATTTTCGATCATCCGGCCATAACTATAATTCAACCAATATCGTTCTAAGAACCAAAAGCAATTAACATTAAACCCTAAACCTAGAATTTCCCATTTGATGCACAACAATGAACCCATAATATAACAACATGCGATGTGTTTACTTTGGTTTGCTAGCTTTTCCATGTCTTGGCATCCTACGGTTGTATAATACAAATATTAAAAATTACATGAAACAATAAGTAATGATGATTCTTAGGTTGAAAAATTCGACTAATATATACCGAATCGATGCGAAAAAAACCAGGAGGGGAGCGAGGATACCTTGCTCTCAAAGATCTACAGATCAAATCAAAGTTTCCAAGGTCCAATATGCCGATTCGTGAAGTATGACGAAGTAGTAATAGAGAAAACCCGAGAGGGAGAAGAAAGAAGAGGAAGAAGGCTCAGACAGGAAGATTGGGGGCCAGGTTAAAACACCACCTCGACACCATAGATCTTGGCGCCAAGCTCGGCGCCAAGATCTACGGCACCAGGATCTACGGCGCCGAGCTGCCTGCCAAGTCATCGCCACGCCTACGTCGAGTCCAATACCTCGGCGCCAGCAACGATGGCGCCGAGCTAAGGGTCCAGATTTTAAAATTATACCTCTAGGGGCATATTTGTAAATTTTTTTTAAAAAAAAGGCTAAAAAATAAAAAATTCGATCGCACGGGCCACGGAGCTGGATATATAGGATATCATATGATTATATATGAGCAACAATGCTTTTGATCTCTGCATGAACAATGTTTCTGTATCAATTGTGAAGTGATTTTAAATGGTACATTAAGGAGGCCTAATGTGCTGATCCTTTTTATGGCATTTTCCCTGTCCTTGAGCCGTACCATGTATGAAATCTGCAGGTTAGCAAGGCACCTGAGCACCTGCAAGTCAATTGAAAAGGAGTACTCAGCTGTGTGGACAACACTGAAGAAAGGAACAAAGCAAGATAGTAGCAGTTAATGTTTGGTACAGGAACACTATGAGGAACATTCGGACTGCTTCCTGAGCACCCTGTACTATGGCCATATGCATTTTTGTAGAGGCTAGATACATATAGGGTATGAAGTGAAGGGTTCAGGCTAACATAGTAGAACAAAGATCACGTATACACCGAACATTCTTAATCGATTCATGCATATACATTCTCAAAAAATAGGAGTGAATGATAGAAAATAGGAAACAAAATTAGCAAATGTGGTTCGTTGTTTAATATTAGACATCCAAACCTGTGTTGTGGTATCTGGGATCGCAATGCTGTGCCTCATCCTTTGGTATGGCAATTCATCTGTTAAAAATAACATTAAAAATTCAGGACCCGAATACAACAGCAAGCAAGCAGAAATGACAAAATCCACAAATTTCAACTAACCCTCAAACGACGAAATCCACAGATGTTCATTAAGTGCACAGAAACACACTTTGACCTGAACATTTTTCAGTCTGAAATGTATGTTTAAGAACATGGTTTTGCTCTGGAGAATATATTTGTGAACTTGAATAAGGCACACAGAAACATTGAATCGAACAACAATATAATGAACTAACAAAGGAATATCAGTCGAATCCCGAACAAATAAACACAGATGCTGAACATGACAAAGGAATTGGAGAAAACATCACAAAGTAGAACCCAAGAAGGAAGCTCTAAAAATTCATCTTAATTTGGCATAGAGCACACCAACAACAGTGTACATGAGCTTTTAGTGTATGGTAAGACATACCAGCTACAAAACGCGTGGAGCGGGGTGGCGCGCTGGATCTTGGGTTCACTGAGATGAGTGAGATCATATGATGTTTAGTCTCATTTGAACATACAGTATTTTCCACTTCGGGAAGAAAGTAGTGAGATGAAAATAGTGTACCTGAGATCATAAAATGTTTGGTGTGATTTAAACATCTCAATTTCGATTTCTGGATAACACAAACAGTATATGTTGGAGCCAAAATTCTGGAGTCACGTGAAATGAGACTAAACATCATATATAAATTTAGCGAGGATGGCGGGCAGGCAAGTGCAATGAATTGCAAAGAAATTACGAAGGAGTGTGAAACATAGTTTGGGGAGCAGCATGTAGACAATCCTAATATGTGATCTTGCAAAGAATAACAACATTGAGTACTAAAAATGACAAATTTTCTATGAGACAGGGAAACATTATCGCCTAAATGTAACCACAGATAGTATAACGAACTATAGGCGAACGTTTTCGTTACGCAAAACAAACCAGAGTGCTAATTAGCAGAGATTACGCAAACAAATTGCACACCTTTCATTCAGGAGGACACGAATACTTACCTGGTGCAATTGATGCTGGATTCAAATGGAAGTCTGTACATCAACCCCCATACCTGCAAGTTCCCTGGAACAGGAAGAAATTGACCACAAAATTCAGTGGCCTAGTCTTGATGCACGTGTAACAGCTGCTAAGTTAACCAACGGCAAAGATATTGTAAAAAAGAGATAACTGTATTGCCCAGTGTTGGATACTATCGATTCGTCGTAACACGTAATGTAAACTCGGTAAGCCAACTCGTCCAGTGAATCTGATAATCACTGCATACAGACTAACATAAAGGGGTTACTGTCCCATATAACTCGGTAGACATTTGTAGTTGGAAAAATTATTGCTTGGAAAACTGAATTAACTTTTGAGCAAGGGTACCTTCTGCGCTTCTTGTTTGCTTCTTTGAATATATAGGACTCCTTGTCAGATGTAGATATTGCATCCGCATCTCTGTTCCTGCAGAAAGGTGGGCATGTTTATTTGGTTAGGAACAAACATTGTTGTACAGGCAAATCATCGAGCACGCGGTGTAAATCATCCATGTGTGAGGCATTCGTTAGTAGAAGATGGGATCGGAGAGAGCTAAGCACCATGGTGTCTACTGTTGGTGGGCCATGTCGGGGCGGAGGCGCGATGCCGTGCCGCGTGTCCGGCGGAGGGTGCAGGCACAGGCGCAACCGGGTCGGCTGTCCGGCGGGTGCCGCGGGCGGACTGAGGGCAGCCAGGTCGGTGGTCCGGCGCAGCCGTCGGAGGTCGCAGGCGGGTCCGCGTTCCGGCGGGGTCGCGGGCCGGCGACGGTGCTGCTGCGCTGGGGCGCTCCGACGGGTCGAGCGGAAACCGGCGGATCTTCCTGCGGCCGGGGCGGGGCCGTGGGGCTGGAGCGGTGCGCAGCCAGGTGGGTGCTCCAGCGTGGTGAAGTGGTGCCACGCCGCACGACCGTCCGTCGGAGGCCGCAGGCTCGGTCGCGGGCCGGTGGTGGTACCGCGGTTCCGCGCTGAGCGGACGGCGGAGGTCGCACGGGAGGCGGCGACCGCCGGTGCGCGTCCGTGCAGCTGCTCCGCAAAGCCGTGGCGGCGCCGGGCCTGCTGCGTGCTGTGCTCCCCTGCCGCGGGGCTGCACCAGGGCGAGGTGGCGGGGAGGGGGAGACGGACGCTGGGGAGGTCGAAGAGGCCGTGCCGGGCGGCGACGGCGAGGAGGGCGGAGTCGGCGGAGCATGCGAGGTGGTTTTTTCCCTCTCCCGATTCTATCGCATTATGAGTCTTGCATGCGGTGTTCACTGTTGATCAACAGTGCGTTCACCAGGATTAGAGATCTATGTAACCAGGATTAGAGATCTATGTAGATGAGTCTTGCATGCCGGTGTTCACTGTTGATCAACAGTGCGTTCACCAGGATTAGAGATCTATGTAGATGTAGATGACGCAGCAGTACACATCTTGAAGAACACAGCGACAATTTTGGAGATCGACAAAATCTTTTAAAAATATTCCTTTTTTCCTGGTTAAAATAGAGATGGTTCATGATTCTGTTCGCTTAGCTGAAAAACCATGACTGAAAGTATTATTTGTTAATTTATTGTGAGAGAAAAATACTATTAATTCATTGAAATAGTACGGCTCCACGAGACAAACGAACCAGGCTCTCTCTCTCTGTTCTGTTTCATGTGTTGCTGTTCCTTTTCAGAGAAAAAAAAACGTATGTTACCGATGGTAAGTTTCTGTGTTGTGTTATTTTCCTTACTTGTCGGAGCTGTGGCTGGTGGGTCCATGAAAAATCCATATGTATCTCTGCTACTCCGATTGACGGGCAAGTCAAACGAGGAAAGGATGATGACGACGACAATAATTAATGATATAATATCCGAGGGAGCTTGACAATCGAGAGGTTAACTTTGCCTAGGCCTATTTTAGATTGCAAATTTTTGTAATCTGGATATTGTAGCACGTTTTGTTTGTATTTAACAAATTTTGTCCGATCATGGACTAACTAGGCTCAAAAGATTCGTCTCGTGATTTACAACCAAACTGTGCAATTAGTTACATTTTTTACCTATATTTAATGCTCCATACATACGTCTAAAAATTGATGTGATGGAGAGAAAGTGAAAAAACTTGAAACTTTGAGACAATCTAAACAAGGCACTAATGCGTTGTGATTATAAAATACTAACACCGAAACTGACAGACACAAGAAAGTGGCGAGGTTGCGTTAGCGCTAAGAAAACACGGCGCAAGAAAAGGCACTGCGCATTGTTTGTGGTTGAGAAAAAGATACATATTTCTCATCAATCTCGGGCAGGCACATGGTATATATATTATAATTAAAATAGTATATGCAGGAGCGGACCAAGCAAACAGGGGAACCTGCTGCCACTTCCCAGCCGATTGTCTCTTCATAATTCAAGAACAAAGCTAGTACATGCTAGTATTATTTGCAAACAAGACTAGTGTGGAAAGCCTAATACTCACTAAGCTATCTTTATATCCGATTCTGATGATGAATGGATGAATGAGTAATCTACTAGGAACCACACTACTACCACCCAGATCCAGTGGCTAATATCAAGGCCAAGCAGTACACAGGCAATAAGTCTTGCCGTATTGTATTATTGCTGATACAGCAGGTTACAGTTAATACACACACATGGATACATCAAGGACATCGCAGGAATGCATGCAGCAACTGGGAGCCCAATTCCTTCCTCCATCACTTTCTGATTCTGACACCAGGGAGTCCTACCTGAGTGTTAAACAGCCTGTTCGCTTGGTCGTATTTGGCTGATAAGCGTATTTTTTTCTCGCACCAAACCAGCCAACAGTACTTTCAGCCATGACTTATAAGCCAAACCAGCCCAAACAAACAGGGCGTTTATGCACGATGAACCGATGATTTTCAAAACCTCTGATCATGGATGATTCCTAATATGTCGGACCAAGCGTATGGCCCAATCTATGACTTTGAGCAAGTTGTAATACTGAATTATCATCATCTGCACATGATCGCTGCGCTAAGAGACACGCCGGATCATTCCTCCTGCTCGATCATCCTCCGGACGTCATCAATCACCAGCCAAGATTTGTGCCCGCCAATCACCTCCGCCTGTTTCCGGGAGTCGCTCCACAGCTGCATAGGACAAAGGACCGTCCTCAAGATAGACAGTAGCGAGATAGAAACCATGGACAAGGGAACAAGCTTCAGTTGTACCTGTATAGAAGGCATCTTCTGCTCGAGCCCCGCGGTACAGATTGCACAAGTTGGACAAAAGGAGGCATTAGCGTGTGTGTTAATTTAACAAATATACTAGGGGATCCGGTTTGTCACTTGTGTATACACGTAGTTGCTGCAGACAAGCTAACGATGAGGCCAAATGCATCATGGGAGAATATTTGATATTGTACTCTAATACCAAGGCTGAAGGATAAGGCTAGGAAGCATTTAGGTGCAAGTTGCACAAAGCCGGCAACTGACAACAAAGTTTCCAGGGCCAATAAAGCAGAGGCTTCCAGTTTCAACCACAACAGGGAAAGAAGCACAAGAAAAGAATTCTAGAAGCTTACTGGTGAAAAAAAAATAGATACATCTACGAATGGTATAATTAGCTTTAATCTAGCTGGTCGGATGCTTCTGCTCTCTTTCTTACTCTTCATGTTCAAAACATCTGTATTTCCATTATGCATTAATGGAAATGGGGGTTCCTCGTGTGGGAAAAAAAATCTACGAATGGCATAAAGTTAAGTATAATTGGGTGTACATACAGTGCAAGGGTAGACTTACTGTTACTCCAGCACGGTTCACAAGCTTTTGTGGAACACAATTCACATCGATACAGTAGAACCGGATTCTGCATATTATGTTGTAACAAAGATCATCAATTTGTCAAGAAAAAAAAACAGCCAGTGTACTTGTCAATCTAGGGGTTAAAGCCTCTCTAACCTTGGATGGTATTCTGCTGCCAACTTCTCAAGCTTAGGTTTCAGATATATACATTTTCTGCACCAACTCGCCATCCTTCATAACACACAGACTAGTATGAATTTGTGCATGAGCTGACATATATTAGGGGAGAGTTTTGACAGACGCAACTATAGAAATTACTCAAAATACAGTTCCATATCGGTAGCATATTTCTTTATAGTATAAAAGACCTATGGTTGATTGGTTGAAATTGATACAGATCACGCATCTTGTTACGTTAAAAAAATGTATAGTTGAAGTATTTTCCTTGAATCCTACATATGAGTTTTCTTTTTGTTTCGAGAAGAGACAGACATATGAATATCAAATTCAACAATGGCACTGCTATTTATTTACATGGTAAAGATACTACAGGAGAGCATAATCTAACCATAGGCTGCAACTCATGCACTGAAGAAAAAACAAATGAAGTTTGGTCTAACATTTTATATTTTTCCCTCCGCCATAAATAGCAGTTCTACTGCCAATATAGTAGAAACAAGCAGATAGAAATGGAAACCAGGAATAGACAAAAAGGTAGATTCAGGAAAAGGCCACTGTCATGCATTTATCATTCCATGCAATACGCCGATAAAATCCATTCCTCAACCGCAATGACACCAGACCGGGCCATGTAAATAAGTGAACCTACGAGCAAATGGACAAAGTTGTCCCTTTTTCACTTGCCCAAGGTGCTAAATTTGCACTCCAGAAATGACTGCCTAATCAAACAACCAAAATCTGCTAACCACGCAATCATACACGATCATGGTCTCCCTGCCGGAGAAATTACGAGCCAACGTTACCGCGGCCGCTCTACAGACACAATCCAATCCAATCAAGGAAAGTGGGGATTACCAGAGCAGGACGATGGGGATGTCGAGCTGCTGCGCGTCCGCAAGGACCCGGTCCAGCTGCTGCTCGCTGGCGATGGGCTCCAGTTCCACCCACACGGGACCCTCCTCCTCCGAGACCCTCTCCCTGGCCGCGGCCGCCGCCGGAACCGCGCGGCGAGGCCCCGGCGGCAGAGAGATCGCGGCCCACCGGGAGGACGGCTTTGCGAGGAAGCCGAGACGGGATGGGGCCGGACCCGGACGGACTCCAATTCGTCCGTGGGACGGCGCCGCTTCGCCGCCTGCGGTGGTGGTGGTGGTGGCGGCGGCGGCCATTGCCGGCGTGGGAGCAAGAAACGTGGAGGCCTCCGTTCGTTTTGACCTGTTGTTGCTGCTGATGAAGAAAGCCGTACTTGTTTTCCTCTCTTCGCCAACCTGTGTGTCACTGCGTGTGGGCCCAGTACTTCCAGAAAGAAGTCAAAGAACAGGAAAACCTTGCACAGGCTTTCTCATACGTGTCGGATCCAGGATTTAAATTCAGGTAATGACTAACAAAGATAATATTATCAAAACGGTTTGGTAAAAATCATAATTTGAAAAAAATTGGGAAAATTGCAACACATGTTCAAAACTAACTTCACAAATCCAGTGATTTGATGTAGTAGGTTCAGACTCATCAAAACAAATATATCCGTATATATACACAAAAAAAATGAACGAAATACATGGAGATCAGGAGGGGGGGCGAAGAAGCTTTACATGCTTACAAGATTTGGGGAAGGGCCGGAAGCTTTCTTCTACATACATGGTAAGAAATCCAATGGAACATGACTACGAGGGCAGTTTGGTTAGAAATAAATACCTCTTTAACATAGCTTCAACAATAGTTTTCATGAGCTATTATTATGACGACATCTCAAGATTTGTTTTTTTTTCCTAAATGGGTATTTTGAGAACAGTCATGATTCACTTACTTGAAGCTCCTAAAATGGAACATGCTCACATGGGGATAGTTTTCATGAGCTGTTTTTTTCCTAAATGGTATTTTGAGAACAGCTTCACTTATGAAGCTCCTAAAATCGTGCTCACATGGGGATCGCGTGGAATGAAGCTGAAAACAGTAGCATTTTGTATGTTCACCTCACACTTTGTGGACACTTTGTGTGATTCTATGAGGACATGTTTTAACAAAATCTACGTGCAGAGCTATTTTGTCAAATGGTTCACTACATGAGCATGAGCTTTAGCTTTACCGGTAAAACTATGCGTAGAGCTAAAGCAAAAAAAAAAAAAGCAATTCAATAGAGAAATTGAGCTATGCCAAATGGGGTCTAAACATGCAAAGAATGTTTGGGACCAGACTAGGATATGTTTACAGATCAGGTGGACCAAAGTTTCAGTCTGTTGTGCAAACGTTTTTTTATTATAAAAAAGTCCGATATGTAGAGTAAATTAAATCCTCAACACTCGGATTAAAATATGGCCTAGGGCCACGGCCCTAGAAGTGGCCCAAAATACCTCTGTAGTGCTCTTGAATTTTTTGGCCCAACCTGAAGTGACATAGGCATTGGGCCAAAATCGCTGCACGTCCAACCAGCCCAAAGGAGCAGGAACGCTTCTCTTCCGTCGGGGCCGTTGCGGCGTTCCCAGATCTGGCGGTCGTGCGTGGGGACTGGGGATTGCTCGGAGTCGGAGAGGACACCCGGTCGCCATGGTTTCTTGCTACCGCCCAGACTTCCGCTGGCGTGCTCAAGCAGCGGCAGGGCTAGTGGTGGCGACTAGATTCCACCCGAGTATTGCTACAAAAGAAGAAGAAAAAAAGTGATAATGATGACTCTAGTTTAGTTACCTCGATGTTCAATCGATAAACTATTACTCGCTATGTATTGATATTTATGATACAAAATAAGCACCATCAAATTAATCTATTTTCATAGTAAATCTAGTTGAACACATAAATATTAATATTATTTACTACAAATTTAAACAAAGTTAAGTTAGTTTGACTTGCATAGATTTTATAGTTGCATCTTTTTTTTAACACGTAAAAGGCTTGCGCGTTTTTGCATTAAGTAGGAAGAAGTTTTGGATTACAAATGTTGTGGCAGCGCTCTAAGGGGCTCAACAAATTAGAGTGAAGCTCATGCCCTTCCCAGTGCCGAAAATTCTTAGGCTACTGTACTAGAAAGTAAATAACCCATATGTCTTGCGCCTCTTGCACCCATTGCCTTGCCTGGCCTCATGCTATATCTGGGTGGCGGCGCCCCTAGTCGCATCCTTTGGATCGAGGTAGTATTTTCATCACATGCTATGTTATTCACATGGGTGTTTCCTGTGAGAAGAGAGGAGATTAACTGATGGCCTGTTCGGCTGGGCTAAAGCTGTTTTTTTTAGAGAAAAATACTGTAGATTCCAACTGATAAGCCGGTTGATAAGTTTAAACGAACATACCAATCCGAGCACTGTTCTTGACATTGAGCTAAAAAATAAACATTTCAACCCTGCGTACATTGCGGCTGCTGATATCGAAAAGCCAACTAAATTTACCACATGAGAACTACTAGTTTTAGTAATTAATGGACTAACAGCAGTCCTAGATAGACGATCAAATAAGCCATAACGTTTGAGACAGAACTAGTCTAGAAGACGACGACCACTTGTTGTTTTGTGCCAACAAACCCTTTGTGGCGGGAAAGAACATGTGAACATGCGTCCTTTGGCAGGATTTTGCAATGATGATTGATTGATTGCGATTGGAGAGGGTGTGTCTTGCTGAAATTTCCGAGTCCACGTCCGCTACTCTGCATCACCGCCGGACTTCGCATTGCACCGATGGCCATGGCCGTCGGCCTCCAGCTGCTCTTGAGCCAACACATACTACACTACTAGCTACCCACTACCACAGCCTCATGAAGGCAAACCTGGGCACTTGCCCAGTTGCCTCCTTCGTTTCCATGAGTATGCTTGGTTCTTTGCCTTCATTGTAGCCGTAGCTTGGTTATGAATTTAAGCCTGGGTAGCCTAGTTTTGGTCTCAGCAAGCTAAGATGGACTTGTTTGATTGGGCAGCTAGGTCTAGCCTGGCTTGGACAAGATTTTGTTTGGTTGGGTGTGCAAAGGCTGAGATGCACTATTGAAGACAAGTTTATGCCTGTTTGTTGGTTGGTTGCACAAAGGGCGGTGGCAGCACCGTTTCCTTTGAATGGTGAGCTTACCCCCTCGTTTCGTACGTGAAATAAACTACCCAGGCTTCTCTCCCCGCCCATTCACCTTCTCTCCCACTTGTGTGTACTCTCGTTGCTGTTCTCTTGTGCACGCTAGGATGACGGACCCAGATGCCATTGGTGCCTCTAGCGACGTGTGGTGAGCCCTGTGGGCTGTGGCGATGTGATGTAGCCTCTGGTTGTCCTTGCTGCTCAAAGATCCACTTCCATTCCGCCATATTCGGCCACCGGTGATATGTGTCAGCCAAGTCCAGCACCGATGGTGGATTGATGGAGAGTGACAATGACGAATCTAGCGACTCCTCCGAGGCTCCAACAATGGCGACCCTCCAGAGCATGCAGCGAAGCTGGAGGAAGGGGAGGCAGAGCGTGTGCGAGAGAGAGGGAGAGTGCAGCGCCGTAGCGAGAAGTGAAGAATGGAGCGGTAACCCTAGCGTCCAAGAGGTGGGACACGGATTTTATTTAGTGCACACTGCAAGCCACTCGGGCCCACCAGAAATTCTCCACGCGTGCCCAACAGGAGTCAGGCTCAAGAAAAATGAGCTCTGCCCGTGTTTCTATCGGGCCTGGTGAGCAGGTGCACAGTGGCCTCTCTAGGCCTGGCCAAAGTCCAGTTACAGGTAACCAAATGAGTCAGTGTTGGCTTCATGGAGCCAGGTCGAAGGTTAGCCATCCAACCAAACAGGTCTTATATGTTGCTTCAAGCTTTAAGGTTTGCAAATCTAGCTAAAGTTCAAAGAAGATATATGGATACATAGAAAATCAAAATATTGATTTTGCACAAATATAAGTTGTAGAAGCGAATTGTTGTAGTGAAAAAAAGAGCACCACATCCTATATATCTCAAAACCGATGCTCCATCTCTCTCTCTCTCAACCGAACATGGTTTGCACACTGCATGATATGATGTTGTAAAAGAAAAGGTTGATATCAATATCTCTAGTTATCTCGATGCTCAATTGATAAACTATTATTTTCATCACATGTTATGCTATTGTTGTCCACACGTGTGTTCCCCGTGAGAAGAGAGGAGGTTGATTCTATTTCTGTATGTGCTAGCTGGCCATACATGACTGATGCTTGCCAATAAATACGACATATAAAACCAATCCAAGCACTGTTCTTGATGTTGAGTTAAAATGACATTTTAATCCTGCATACACTATGTGGCCGCTCCTAGATATGAAAAACCAACTAAATTTGAATCAACTAACAATTAGTTGTAGGTGATCAAATATATACTAAAGGTTTCGGCATAAGACTAGTCTAAGATGACCATGACTGATGCTTGCCAACAAATACGACATATAAAACCGCCAATCCAAGCACTGTTCTTGACGTTGAGTTGAAATGACATTTTAATCCTGCATACACTGTGTGGCCGCTCCTAGATATGAAAAACCAACTAAATTTTAATCAGCTAACAATTAGTTGTAGGCGATAAAATATATACTAAAGGTTTCGGTACGAGACTAGTCTAAGATGAGTAGATGACCATGACTGCCAATAGATACGACATATAAAACCACCAATCCAAGCACTGTTCTTGACGTTGAGTTGAAAAGATATTTTAACCCTGCATACATTCTGTGGCCGCTAACAATTAGTTGTAGGCGATTAGATAGACCCTAAATGTTCGACATGAGACTAGTTTAAGATGACCACGACCACATATTGTTTTGTGCCAACCCTCTGTGGCGAGAGAGAACACGTGTTCTTTTGGTAGGATTTTGCAAGTGTATGATTGTGATTGGAGAGGGCGTGAGTTTGCTGACATTTCCTGATGGTGTCCAGTGTCCACCTTCACAGCTCAGGGTGTTCACAGCTCAGGGCGTGTTTAGTTGGAGAGTTGAAAATTTTTGGGTGTCACATCAGATGTGTTGGAAAAATGTCGGGAGGAATTTTGGATACTAATAAAAAAACAAATTACAGATCCCATTAAAAAACTACGAGACGAATCTAATGATACTAATTAATCGGTCATTAACGCATGTGGGTACTGTAGCACTTAAGGCTTTTCATGGACTAATTAGTCCTAAAAGATTCGTCTCACGATTTTGTCGAGAACGGTGTAATTATTTTTTTTTTTTATCTATATTTAGTACTCCATGCATATGTCCAAACATGCACTTTTACTGTAGGAGAAAAAAAAATGGAAGCCCTCACTCACACTCCCAACTCTCCATTATACCATCACCGCCGGACTTCGGATTGCTTGCATCGATGGCCATGGCCGTCGGCCTCCATCAGCTGCTCTTGAGCCCCACCACATACTACACTACTACGCCACCAGCCGCTGCTGCTTCTCCTTGCCGCCGCCGCCGCCGCCGTCGTCTTCTGTCAACTCCGGCTTGGAGCCATCGTTCAGGTCCAACATCAACTGTAGCCGCAGCAGCCTCCCGGACGTCCGAGCAATCCTCCAGCACGAGGAGGAAGCAGCAGCAGGTGACGCTGAAGCTGACGTACCTGGAGATCAACAGCTGGGTGTGGGAGGTACACCAGCAACACCAAGCCGCCCCTCTGCGCATCCTGGTGGACCCACTCGCGTCGTCGGCAACCTCGACTTCGGCATGCCGTGGCTCTACGACAGCGCCAAGAAGAACCCGAAGGTGAAGGCCCTCGGTGTGGACGACCTCCTGGCGCCGGACGCGAGGCCGGACCTGCTGCTCATCACGAACCGCCTGGACGACCACTGCCACGTCCGGACGCTGACGCAGCTGTCGGCCAGGGCGCCTGACCTGACGGTGGTGACCACGCCCAACGCGCGGGCAGTGCTCGCGTCCCTGCCCACGCCCTTCCGCCGCGTTACCTACCTGGAGCCCGGCGAGTCCACCGCCGTCAGCCCGGACGTCCGGGTGCTGGCCACCGCTGGCACCTTGCTGGGCCCGCCGTGGGAGCGCCCCGAGAACGGCTACTTCCTCCTCATGCCCGCAGGCGCCGACGCCGACGACAGGAACGGCCTCCTGTACTACGAGCCGCACTGCCTGCACGACAGGTCGTTCCTGGAGAGGAAGCGGGTGCGGGCGGACGTGGTGATCACGCCGGTGGTGAAGCAGCTCCCCTCCCCTCCCCCTCCCCCTCCCCGGCAACTACTACACGCTCGTCTCCGGGCAGGAGGACGCCGTCGACCTGGCCGGGATGCTGCGAGCGAGGTACGTGGTCCCGATGAGAAACGCCGACCTGGACGCCGGCGGGCTCCTGACCACCGTGCTCACCGAACAGGGGACGACACAGTCCTTCCAGGCGTTGCTGTCGGAGGCGCTTCCCCAGGTACAGGTCCTTGACCCCACGCCCGGCGTGCCGCTCCACCTGACCTGGAGCTGCACTGACAGTCTGACACAGACATCAACGTGCCAACACAGACGCCACAAAAGCGATCGAGCTTGTGCATATGTAGCGACAGCCGACCGAGATAGTGAGTGTAATAAGCATCTTCAACCAGAATTATATATATACACACACGCGATAATATATATATATATACGATAGTTAGTTACTATAACACATGGGGATATTTACCATAACATTATAGTAATCCACTTAGTAAGGAGTTACTATAATCTCGTAAATTAACATAGTAATTATCGTAACTCAAAGTGGCTACAGAATAAGTTATTTGGTAGCCAGCTACGGTAGTAGCTCTCTCTCACATCGTGGGTACTGTTCACCGGTGCGCCTCCGGACCCAGATCACTGTAGCGACAGTAACGACCACGATGAACAGTACCCGACCCGATAAGGAACCATACCACTTTTTTTTTTCCTCACAGCGTCCACTGTTGCCCGCGCGAAGCGAGGGGTTACCTGCTATATGTGTATATATATATATACACACACTACTGAGGGAGTATTAATTAACCTTTCTATACAAATGACCCACATGCATACAAAAATTACAAATACATGTATACATTATGATTTGGAGACAAGGCAAAAAAATTTCAACTGGACAAACCACCAACAAAGACAGCATTCAAGAGCTTCCTTTCCTGCTGTTCTCAAAGCCAAAAGAGTTCCGTGTTTCCTACATACTAATTTTGGGGCGCGGTTAGTAGAGCTCTAGCTCCGGCTTCAATAGTTGGAAGTCACAAAGAATTGTTGCAAGTCACAACACCTCCAAAGCGCATACAAATAATGTCTGATAGTCTGTAACGGTGCATTTCCTGGCTCTACTTCAACTTACTTCAATCAACCGTCCTTTTGTCATGCTGTCCTTTACCAGTTTAAATTATGCTCATGCTAAACTTTGTGTAGGTGCTTCTGTTTTCTTTTATTGTATACATAGTTTTTTTTAGCAATTGATTTGCTTCTTTTTTATATATAAACATTACAAATAAATAAATTCTCAGTGCATTGCATAGTTGCATGGCTGATCCTGATTGTAAAAATACAATTTTATATGGTAGCATATTTATCAAATTGCGTAGACTTTATAGTATAAAGGACCTACCGTTGAAATTAATACAGGAACCATAACCCACATCTTGTTACATAAAAAATGTATAGTTGAAACATTTTTGTTCAATCCTACATATGAGTTATCTTTTTTTTAGTCAGATTGAATGGCATTTTCATGCGGCATAAAATTTGGGATAAGTTGCAGCACATATTCAAATTAACTTCACAATCCAATATTTCAGTAGAGTAGGTTCGGACTCAAAAACAACTTTACTCATACACACAAAAAAAATGAACAAAATACATGGAGGCTGGGAGAGGGAGAAGAAGCTTTACATGCTGTTACAAGATTGGGAAGAACTGAATGTTTCTACAGGTGCCCTAGCTAGCAAGACGCAAGAAAGCCAATGCAACAAGACTACAGGAGCAATTTGGTTACAAAATCAACATGGAAATCTACATGGTAGCACGTGGTGACTGGAAATGCTGTTGGCACATTCATCAGTTGTTCGTGATTTGGAAGTCGGTGCCATCCTTCAGATGCCCCGTCGCAGTAGGGCAAAGCCAGCAAAGAATGTTTGGACCCAGGATCTGTTATAGATCAGATGGACCAAAGATTCAGTCAAATGGAACGACAACGAGGAAATAAATTTAACCGCGTAACTGATCTAATCCTCAACACAAAACTTGAAACCAGCTGAAATTCTTATGTTGGTCATAAGGAGAAGTTTTGGATGTTCTTCTTTATGTAATAATAGTACCATTTGAATGTTCTTCCGTATCCCAAGATCAAACCGGTGGCGATACTTCTGCCCACTCTTCTTTGCAAGCCACCTCGCTCTTACTGCCTCCCGGTACTGATGCAAAGGAGCAGAAAACAATTAAATGTGGTGCCAGGAAACTACGCAGTGGATGGACGTATGGAATCCCAGATAGTAGCTTACCTCTATGGTTGTCATGTTATGACACAAGAGATAGATGTGCCAGCATAGTAGAGAACCTATTGTCAAGCTTAAGAAGAACAACAGGACACCTGCCAAGATCTGCATTTTCAAGATACTCATTTAAATTAGACCATAGCCTGGTCCTTGTATAGAAAAAAAACCGAAGAAACAAACCCCCAAAAAAGCATACTACAAAACTAAATAGACAATGACCGCGGAGCATATTAGCTGAGGCACAGAATCATATCCGTAACACCACTATATGCCTTGCTAGACCAATATAGAAAAACACTTTGTTTCACCGTTATAGCATGAGTTTGTACAAAGCTTAAAGATCTTGGACCATTTCCATCTACAGTGCAAGTTACCAAAGTCTGAAGCTAATTCTCATTGAGTTGAATGACATGATGAACTGCTGACAACTTGAAAGAGTTGTACAAGAGAAGGGTCCACTTTGTCATGCAATATACCACTAGGAAACAACTTTTCATGATCATTTCCCTCAGATTCTGGTAAGACAAAATATATTGACATGTTCAAGCAAAACCTCCAGTACATTACTGGCGTCTGCTATATCCAAACTAACTTTGTGGTAGTGTAGATAAACAGAACTAGGAGTTAAACTAGAAACATCACATTTCTGTACAACTGTTGTATAACAACCTGATAATGGACTGAATATTTATCAAGAAAGAGACTGCTGATGGCATAGTGAGAGCTCCTAGCTTAGAATAGTGGTCAGGGCACTCACATAGAGTATCTTCACATATAGAATATCAAAGTCATGCTCTTTCAGAAGTAGATCGCATAGAAATATCGCCTGCAAAATATTTTGACACAGTTGTAAACATCGCCATTGAAGATGTTTAGATGTACCAGTTTTGGTGCAGTATAGTCACTTACAAATGAATAAAGAGACCCAATAGTTGCATTTAGGACACAAATGATGAAGGCTTTGTAGTTTGCGTATCCTACACAGTTGTTGATCCAGACACAGTGATGATCCTGCCATCGACAATATTACCATGCCTTTTAATAATTGCAGAAGCATATGTCACAACATATGCAGCATCAGCATCGACAAAGATGGTGCGCACCTACCATTTTCAGAACACACCTTTTGCAGACCTTGCAGTGGTGGGTCCGAGGAGGCTTGAACATGCAACATTTATCACAATACCTAGATTTCAACCCCTGATGCAACCAAATACATAATCAGTGTGCACCACCAAACAAATAGCACAAGTAGTGCAACAAACATAATTGGAAACTAGGAGTAGCAGCCAAAACTGCCAAATCCAAGGAGTGCTACCGTGACATGATCAAATGAAGAAACATATGTGATCATCAGTGTGTGCACATGGATCTCATTTGGTTTAAGGTGATAGGTTCAGTTCTGAAAATGGTCAAGTTTCATGGTGATCAGGCAGCTAGCACCGAATACACGGTCAGCATGCAGATACCAAGTAAATAACACAACCAAACTAGAAGTAGCAGCTAAACTGCTGAATCCAAGCTACTGTGCCATGAACAAATAAAGAGACAGACACATGTGGTTACCTATTCGTGCACAAGGATCTGATTTAGCTGCTCAGGGCGAATGATTCATTTGATCATTTCTGATACCGATCAAGCTTTCAAGGAAATTGGGATTGGACAGCTAAACTGTTTACAACTATACTAGTGCGAAAGAGGCGTTTTTCATGCCAATCTACGTTTGCAGATGTCTCGATTAATAAATAATCATCAGTTCATCACAGTTTGAGGTCGATAAGGAAGGAGGACAAGGAAAGCAGGAGAGAGATCTCGGTTAGTTCTCCGACCTGTCCCTGCGCGGCTTCGGCGTCGGGGGCGAACGCGGGTGGGACGGTGCCGGGGTCGGCACCCGCGGCGCAGACGAAGGCGAGGAAGCACGCGGCGACGGCGAGCGAGACGGCGGCGGCGTGGGCGGCGCCGGCCGGCGTGGCGAGGCCGACCCAGTGGTCGAGAAAGACGAACACCGTGGAGTAGTACACGAGCGCCATGACGGACACCGTGCCGAGCATGGCCGGAGAGGCGACCGCTGTCGCCGGCGCGGGGCCGCCCCTCCTCCGCGCCATCCCCTCCGGTGCCGGTCTCGCCGCCTACGATCTGGCTCTCGCTCTCCTCTCCTCCGGAAGCCTGTCACACGTTCGAGGTCGCCCTGGGCCAGATAGGCTGTGGGCCTTTACTGAGTTGACTGAGAATTGGACTGTGTCATTATGGGCCTTCAGACTGCATAGATGGGCCTCGACCTCGAGTGTGTAGTAATTGGGCTCGTGGCCTTGGGTCTTGGTAATTAATAGGAAAAAGTCATTCTTACATCCCTTAATTATTTTTGTGGTCTGATTTACCTCCTCGAAATAGAAAATCGAATGTTTTGACTCCTTCAAGTACTAAAGCAGGTTGATTTTCCTCCTTGGATGATTTCAAGGCGGTTTATTCTAACGTGGCACCATGTTAGACGTCCTACGTGGCACGCCACATCAGACACAAAGGAGGTAAATCGGACTACGTTGATAGTTTAGTGGGTCAAATATACTTTACCAAAAAAAAGTTACAGAAAGAAATCTTCAAAGGCTGCCGAAGTCTTTTTTTGACAAAATGGATTTTTAAATTCCAAAATATGGTTAAATCTTAGAAAAATTTATAGGAAGATTATTTTAGCTCAGAAAAATAAAAAACCAGTTTCAGATACATTTTTAAGGATTCACGCTCTATATTATGGTGCGTAGTTTTTATTTAAATCTTATATGATCTCATCTTTGTGTTTATTTACTAAACAAGAATTATATTTTTATGCACTTGAGAAAAAAGAAGAGGAAAAATTGCGTTCAAGAAAGAAGAGGGAAAGACGAATAATGTGCTAGCTTAGATTCTGTGCGATAGCATGTTTCGGAAGGAGCAGGATTAAGCTAAGGCCCCGTTTAGATGTCCCCAAAACCTAAATTTTTTTGCTGAGTACTCGTCACATCGAATCTTGCGGCACATGCATGAAGTACTAAATGTAGACGAAAAAAAACTAATTACACAGTTGGCCGAGAAATCGTGAGACAAATCTTTTAAGCCTAAATAGTCCATAATTGGACAATTTTTGCCAAATACAAACGAAAGTGTTACAGTAGCCAAAAGCTAAAATTTTCGGAACTAAACACGCCCTAAGCTAATAGGAGTCTTGAGTGTTGCAAAATGCAAATGATCCAACTGTGTTCCTGCCTCGTCGACTAAGAGCATGCCCCATAATTTAGTGGTGTTATTGGCTATATAAACTAGTGTCATACTGCCATGTCACATACAACCAATCGAACAACCTACTTATATAATAGTCAGATTTTATACATATTATTACATCATTTTTTGAAACGAATATCATTACATCATTTAATATATGGTTCACTCAATTTTCTCACAAGAATTCTTTTGGAGCTCTCATATCTCAAAAGGTTATAACTTGTAAGTTTGCAACCCACTTAGAGAATCTCTAATACTTCCTAAAATATCAGCCAGTAAATTAATGAGTTTTCCAAGTGACTAAAAAAAAAGGTTGGGAGCATATTTAGTGGGTTCCTCCAACGGTTTCTGAAATATCGCTTCTAAAATATAGAGGACAATTTTGCATCAGATATATATCCCGGACTATTTTCAAATCACACCAACCACTTTTATAATTTTCTCTCTTATATATTTGCATTGAGAACCATGTCTTTCTTCTTATTCCTCTCCACGTCCTTCCACCTTCAGATTGCTCATGACCCATAGGCACGCGTATATTTCCACACGGTTAGCTCGATTTTCCCGAGTGCGAGATTGGGAGTTGAGTCATGGGAGTTATTGGAGAGCGTTTTTTAATCTTGCAAAAAAAATTAAGATTGGAAGTGGGTTTTGAAAACTTCTTGAGATGCTCTTATTATCTTCTTCCTCATCTCCTCCCTTGTTTTATTCCAGCATTGTATACAAAGCTGATGCGCCAACTCATGCGACCCGGCGGTTAGGTCACGTTATTCGCTGTTATATATACACTGTACTCTCTAGCAGTAATGCATGCGCAGAGGCAGAGCTGAGAAGAGAGCCAGGGCCGGGTGTCCTTAAAACACGTTTTAATCTGGACCAGACTATAAAAACTAGCTAGCTAGGAATTGCTTGCTTGCTTACATGCATGCTGCATGCAGCTTACGTACGGTACAGTTGGTAGCTAGTACTGGTTGTAGCAACTTTTGCATCCATCGGTTGCACTGCTCATTTCCGGTTGAGCAGTGACGATGCATGCAACAGACAACAGCCAATGTTTTCACGAGACATGCGTGACCACGTACGAATGATCGATCGAGGATACGTACATCCCCAATAATCACCCATACGCACATGCATATCCATGTGATGTGATGCATGCATGCATGGTGGTACATGGTACAGGTGGTACCTAGTACCACCTGTTCCCTAGGTAGCACGCATGTACACGTACATACTAGCCTCCGAGTTAATTAACCAACTGCCACGTACAACTCTTGCATGCAGGAATTTGGTAAATGAACTCTCTATTTGAATTTGTTGGCAAAAAGAAGAAGGAAGGAAAAAAAACACACTCCCTCCCAACTTGGTAATAAGACAACACCACAAAAAATAAGAAGTTGCTAATCTTCCCTCCAACTGGATCATAACTTTTTCTGCACTTGATACAAACGCCCCATATCCATGTTTCCTCCATGGTCCGATCGACCGCTCCCGTTGCGCCCCCAATCCGCGTTGATTTTGGTGCGAGTCATGGTGTTTTGTGACCCTGCGCCTTGTTCGTTTGGACTTGTTTGGCTTATAAACTGTACTTTTTTCAGCCAATGAACAATATTTTTCTCTCACACAAAATCAACCAACTGTACTTTCAACCATGACTTATCAGCTAAGCAAGCCCAAACGAACAGGACGTCTACCGCTACGTTGGGACTCCTACCGTAGTAGCTCCTTGAAGGTACACACTTCCTGTCAATCTTTCATGGCTAGGCCTAAATCGAAAGGTAGAAATTTTTTAGTAAACTTGAGGATGAATTAGTTGTGTTAACCTAGTTGAATGTTGGCACAGGTCTAGTGAGTGGAACCAATCAAAATCGTTGGCTGGGCAAGGAGGGGCAGTGACGCCTGTTGGCTAGGCAAAGGAGGGCGGTTGACGATGCCTAATCGCGTGAGTCAGAACGATAGGGACGTCGTGCGGACCTGGAATTGCCGCACCAAACAATATGCGGGCCTTTTTTTTGTTTAGGAAGTTCATATACTAGGAAACTATCGGAGGGAGATAAAATTAGGTTGTTATTTATTTTGTTAACTTGCTAAAGTCATTAGTTCAGCGAATAAATTATACTAAGTTCCTGGAGATGCTCCAAGGGTTTGTTTGGATCACTTGAACTAGTTGTTAGTCCAAGTAAAGTTTAGGTGACTTAAGTTCAAGCAAGTAAAGTTTAGTCAAAGTGCTACTTGGATACATCGACTACCGAGAGAGGCTAACAACGTAGTTGGGTGGGACCAGACTAAAACATACTCCACCCGTTTAGATGGTATATGACTAAATTTAGCCACCTAAAATTTTGGTCTAGTGATCTAAACATGCTCTAAACTCCGTGCCTCCTAAATACTCTTCTGATGAACTATTCGTGATTCATCGGATTAATTACTAGCTCGTAAGAATCCGATCCATCCATGGACGACAAGAAGGGCAGGCTGAATAGGAGTGTACTACATGGGTTTGCAGGAGACACACTGGCAGGCGCTATAGTCCATCCATAGCCCCATCATGGTTCAGATCAAACGCGTCCTAAATACTGCTATCTCTGTACTGCTGCTCACTCCGTTGCAAAATTCAACGGCCGCTGAGGTTTTCATGCACGGATGTAGCTGGGTAATAAAGCGCGGAGGGTAAGAGTTTTTGTTACAAATCTTTTTTCTTCTTAAAAAATGAAAGTCCTAATATAATCTCACATAGATGCAAACTATTCCTCCATCCATGATTAAATCGACTTCTAGGAAGTTTAGAACAAAATTAGTACTCCCTCTGTTTTCTTTACATGTCTTCCTATAAGTTTAATATTTCTATCTTTGATCATCAATTTTAAAAAATACGTATACGATAAGAACATAAGATTTGTATTTTTAAATTAATATAAAAAATACTTTCATAATATATAGTTCACATGTTGTGAAACTATATAGTTTTTTTATATAATTGATGGTCAAATGTTTCTATGTTTGACTTATGACAGATCTAATATGACACGTAAAAAAAAGAGAGGAAGTACTGCATAGGCCTCTTAGGCTAGTCTCGGTGGAAGGTTTCACTTCCCAGTTTCCAAGACGTGACACTAAGGGCCTGTTCGCTTGTCTGAATTCTGGAGGAATCTGGATGGTTTGGAGGAATGCTGGAGGAATTTATGAGAGAAAAACACTGTTTTGGATGAAAAAAATAAGCGAATCAAGCCAGGTTTAAGGACACGCGAACGGTGCCTAAGAATGAAATGTGGTGTCTCAATGCACAGTTTCGTAGGATAGCTTTAGTATTTAATTCTTATATTGGGTTGCGATCAAATGTGGTATATAAACTATTTAGCCTTTTACAGCGTCAATTTACACACTTAAAATAGACAACATTCAGTTGTCGTAGAACTGTCACTGAACTCTTTCCCAAACGTAGACAACTCTTCTTAATTCGGCAGGCTAAAAATATGAATAATTGAACTGCTCTGACGAAACCTGAAACTTCAAAGTTCCTGATGAGGGCAGCTGTGTTGGAACTGAACTCCAGAAAAGGAACAGGAAAGCTGGACGATGGCTGTTGATCGACACAAAAAACGGGGAAAATCTGCAAGCTTGACACTGAACTCCATCTGCATCTGCACTACTGTTGTCGCCCTGATCTGCGTCCTATTCACTTGGCTTATAAGCCGTATTTTTTCGACCAACGATCAATATTTTTTTCTCACAACAAATCAGCCAATAGTACTTTTAGCCAGCGAACGGGGCACTGAACTCCATCTGCACTACTGTTGTCGACCTGCTCTGCACTACTGAACTCCATCTGCATCTGGACGATGGCTGTTGA